CTATTGACGAGGCCATACAACAAAATGAGGAGGAGGTCGTTCAAATAAGCCCTTTAGCAAAATCTAACACTTGTTAGTTAGTAATTAGGAGTCCGAGCAGCATAGCTGCAAGGAACCCTATTGTAATTGTACAGATTATTATTATTATTATTATAATTTTCGTTGTTTCCACAAAATTCTGACCTAAAAGTGTCTGGGCTGCAAAAACTACAAGGTGCACAGACACCAAACTTGGTAGGTTAGTTCCTGACCTCCCAAGGATGTCACACAATTACAACGGCATAAAAATACCTCTAGATGGCGCTAAAATAAACACATTAACGTTTTGGGTCATATCTCAGCCTGCGTGTGAAATTTTTGAAAATTTTTTTTTTCGTCTGATTAGTTGGTATCTCCCAAAGCTAATGCACCCATTCCTGCCAATTTCTGCCATGATACTTTTCCCGTTTGGGATGAATGATCTACAGAGTATGCTGACAAAACGATACTCACAAATTTTGAAGTGTCATTCCGTTTCAAAGTTACATGTCAATCAGTATTTAAGGCGTGGCCATTATTGATTTGTATTTCTTATGATGTGATAGTTGAAACTTGATTAAACTTGATGCACACAACCACCACAACATTCCTTAGAAAAACACAAAATTTTGTAAAATTCCATCCATAGGGGGCGCTATAACTGGAACATGTCAATATTCAAGAACCGCTTGAGAATTAAAATCTGAAATTTGGTATACTTATACTTGGTCCCATTTAGATGCAGTGCCTAAGGTATGGATTGGCTGAATTTTCAAAATGGCCGCCAAACAGCCAATCAAAATTCACTGGCTAATATTTGCTATTGAGAATGGCCAATCGTCATGAAACTTGATAGGCTCATTCATATTGACAAATAAAAACTATGTGCCGCTATGAATGAAATCAGCCACAAGGGGGTGCTATAACAAATGCATTTTTTTTTTTGCTTATATTTTATGAAATATTGGGCTTAGAATAAATATTGGGCTTCTTGACACAATATTTTTATGTTTGATTATTCTTCATGACATTTACTTACAAATGTGTCCCATGCATCACAGTCACAGTGTTTGAATTCAAGTTTTGTTTATTTATTTTTTTCTGAATGTAACCGCACAACTCACTGCAAACTGCTTAGGCAGGAAACATACTTGCTGTTCAATCATGCGTTCACAAAGTCGACCGGAAAATGTTCTTAGCGTATTTGTTCACATACTTGCTTGTGCACTACGTGTGTCCTGGAGGATTCCACTGGGGGGCACATTGGAGAATTCAATCAGACTGTTGTGCGTGAACAGAACAAACATGGCGACACCAGACCTGGTTACTTTACGAAATCAGCGTTAAAAAAAAAGAATTTAAAGGCACTTTTACGATTGTACGATTATTAAGAAAAAATGTAAATTTTTGATTGGTTATACTACGCATTTTGCATTTAGACCATTCCAAAGTTGAGTCCACGTTTTTGCAGCGGAAATGGCAAACTGTTGGCTGCATTCAACCAAAGAGATTACAGTCCTAATGTCAAGATGGGGAAAAACTACAAATCTTAATACAATCGTATTTTTTTAAACGTTGAAGCTATTTTCTGAATGATTAAGCCAAAATGGTCAGACAGCTTTTTCATACAATTTATACCTTAAAAAACCTGGTGGAATGGAGGGGCTGCTCTGTTTTTTGTGGTGTCCCGCAAACACTTTTCTAATTTTCTGAAATTTTTCGAGCTATTTAAAGGCACATTCATCATGGTGCATCAAACTTTTGAAAAATATTGAAATTGGCTGCACACTCATAGCTCCGATGCAAAAATTGTTTTTATTTTTGAAGTATGAAGACATTACTAAAACCAACGTTTCACCAGGACAAACTCCCATAAAGGCAGCTGTCCTGCCAAAACATAGGTTTTATTAATGTCTTGATAAATGATCATTTTTATTTATTTATTTTTATTTTTTGCATCGGAGCTATAAGTGTGCAGCCAATTTCAGTATTTTTCATGAATATTTTCCATGCTTGTTTTCATTGGCTGGCACCTCATCACTTCAGGTGTGGGTTACTTTCACTTTGATTCAGTATCAATCTTTTGACCAATAGGAATTGTAAAATAGTGAATTATGAGTAAAATGATTTTTCTGTAAACATTTGTCGGAAAATTTATTGTCTCATGCTTGAGAGTAGATGTCATTGCGGAATTGAGGAAACTATTTTATTAACATGAAATTTGTGGGGTGGTAAAAAAAAAAATGAACTGTAATGACTTCATCCTTAGGGTTTGTGAACTTCCAACTTCAACTGTGAAAGCTGACAGTACTTCGCAATTTCACATTTCACAATCTTACTTACATAGTAGCTTCAATATTACTTTTTCAGTTAACAAAATCAGAATATAGCAAGAAAATAGAATTAATATCAATCTATTTGTTTTCACTAGAATTAATTTTAAATGTTGGCTTGCTGAATGATTAAAAAGTCACATTATAACAGATGGGTAATATTTTGTGTTATCAGCATTTGACTTACTAGCACTTGGGGATAACACATGCAAAATGGTGTCAGTACAAGACAGTTTTCCAGTGACAAGCAGGTACATCAATGTTTTAATGAAATTTCAACACTGGCGTGGCATTTTTTAAAATGATTTTATGTATTACACACATTCCCATCTGTTCTGCCACATGAAATCAGAGTCATTGTGCTGCTGACCCACTTTTTTGGAAAATCTGGGAATATTTTGAATCATTAATAGAATAGTTGTTTCACACTGAATTCAAAGAAAACATAAATGCATTGGAATCTCTCCTGATCAGAATTCTATCTTGAATTCACTGAAACAAGAACTGCACTTTGGCTTTGCAATTTTAAGTGAACTACAGTCGGAGCTCTGCAGCTATCAATTACAGCTGATCTGACTTGAAATGGTCTCATTGCCAGTAGATTTTTTTTTTTTTTTTTTTTTTAATCTTTCAATTTTTTTCCCCCCGTTAAAACAGACAGCTGAAACTGCCTTTTTCAAATGGAGCACAATCCCTGGAGAAATCCAAGGGGTTATATTGGTATGTTTTCAATACTTGTAAAAAGAGAGAAAATAAAAACTGTTGTATTATATGAAATAGAAAAAATCAATATGGTAATATGTCACTAATATATTTATTTACTAATATATTTATCCAGGTTTGCCAGGTTTGAAAAAATGCATTTTGTTCCACACAGAAAACATATCTTAATGAAACGATTGCCAGCACAGATATAACTGCTTGGCTTCATTACAATTATATGCAAATAAATTATTTTGAAATAAAACTCCTGAATATGTATCATTTTATTTCCTACTGGTGAGATTATTTGTGCTTCAAAATGCTTCAGAATGCATCTGATTCATTGCACCATGCCCCATATTTGTCTTCTTCTGAAAAGATTCAGAAAAAGTTTTGGTTTTCACATATCAATTATCTTTATTATTCTTCGTTTTTGCTTGCTGTCTTTGCCAATTATCATAATTTATGCATGACGTCTAAAACTTGAAGTCAGCCATGTTGATGGTATAAACATGAGTTGTTGCTGTACTCACAATGCAGTTCAAAGGAGTATTCAGTCTCGGTTTACTACGTTTCTTGGTGTTTTTACATGAATTGCCATGAGTTATAGATGAGTTCTAAGCAAATATGATATTGAAGCTTTAAAACAACTCAAGTAAAATAAATTTCACTTCACCAGGGGATATACAATTAACCAAGTGCAAAATTCCTTCAGCTGGATGCCATTATTTTTAAACATGTTGTCACAACCTGCGTGTGAATCCTTAGTGTGTCTCTTAGCAGTACAGCAGCTTGCACATCTTTCAGGTGTATGTGTGTTGTGATTGGTGTACGTCTTGTGCGCGTCCTCCCTCTCGGCTGAATGGTGTTACTTGCTCATTTCTTAATCCTAGTTGTCCCCACCTATCCTCTCTGGAGTTTTGTCCCGTTAATATTGTGCTGCTGCCAATAAAACACCAGTTGTATTGTAAGTCTGTCTCCACACTTGATTCCTATTCTGGACCACAACACATTTTGACAGAATTAAACAGAACAGGATAGATACTTCAAGGCAAATACTTCACATAAAGTCAAATGTGCATTTTTATGTCAAAAGAAGACAAGTTGCTTTTGTGGTTTTGAAAATGGTATATCAAGTGTATGCAGTGGCGGACTTCGTGATTTGGGGGCTCTAGGTGAAACTTAGTATGAGACCCCCAGTACCGGCGAACATGCAGGCTGTAGGGGGCTAATATTGAGATTAATTTTGTGTTTTACTATTTGTTGGTTAATGTTACTTTCACTGCTGTTGACATTGCTGGCACTGCTTATGCTACTTCTAGTAACGTAGCAGCATTAACACTGCTTGCAGTTTCATTGTCATAAAATTTCTTACCATGGAAATTCCTTGCCGTAGACTGATGTGTCTACAAAACCTTGCATTATGGGTATATGCAAAACTATCATGCATTTCAGACCTGCAGATTCAAGACGAGTAGTAGCTAATGCTGGAATGCTATCCTCCACTTTCCTCTTGACATGAAGAGTGCTTGACCTGCCAGCATAGTTTTCACCATGGCAGTGCATTTTCTTTGGAAAGCATAAACTAAAAACCGAAACTGATGGTTATGCATGTACACAGAACAAAAATATAAACGCAACAGGTTAGTCATTTCAATATTCCACATAATTATGTCTGAGTTTGGTGTAGTGGGGTTTATTTACATGACCAAGATAAGATATACTTTATTGAACCCCGTGGGGTAATTTGTCCTCTGCATTTGACCCATCCTATAGTTAGGAGCAGTGGGCAGCCACACAGAGCAGCGCCCGGGGACCAACTCCAGTTCTAAAGCCAGTTCCTTGGTCAGGGGCACTGGTAGAAGTGTTCCTATGATGCGTTTTTTTGTGGGAAACCGGAGCAAACCCACACGAATACGGGGAGAATGTGCAAACTCCACACAGAAAGGCCCCAGGCCAGGATCGAACCCACAACCTTCTTGCTGTGAGGCGACAGCGCTAACCACTGCACCACCGTGCCACCCTAAGGGTGTGTGCTACTGGTCTGTGTGCATTTCAGTCACCTTCTCCATATCATTGTCAAGTTCATGCCCTTGTCGAAATTGGCCTGTCAGACAGGTGGGGTCTGATCCAGTGCTACTGAAATCAGGTACGGTCAGCCCATGCACATCCTGTCCTCTGGCCAATAAAAGGCCACCTCAGAAGTTCCAGTTTTGCCATTGTTCAAAATGTCATAGATGACTAGCCATCAGGGAGCTTGCCATTGGCACGCTCAATGCAGGAATGTTTCTCAGGGCTGTCGCAGGGGCTCTTAATGTCCGTGTTTCAACAATAAGTCACATAAGACGCTGTTTTGAGGAATTAGGCACGACGGCAAACCGCCCATGTGCATGACGACCACGTGTGACGACCCCTGACCAAGACCACCATTACCGGACTCTCCATCACTGTGACCGTCTGAGACCAGCAACTGCCACTGCAGATGAGAGAATTGGTCCCCACAATTGCCGCATCTGCCAAAATTGTGAAAAATCATCTTCAGGTAGTTCGTATCTGTGCACGTTGTGCTCTTTGCGGATTGGAACTCACCTCAGCTCGACAAAAAAAATCAGTTCAACTGAGTGAACAGACATGTTTGATGGTGAATGGCACAATGGAGGACTGTTTTCTTCACAGACTTCACAGAGCGAACGAAGGGGATCATTGGTGCGCATGGTGGCATATACTAATAATAATATGTTTTATTTATATAGCGCCTTTCTTAGACCCAAGGTCGCTTTACATGCCGCACAGAGAAGAAACATTAAAACAAGGCAATACAAACATGACACATAATGACAGGACAAAAAGACCGATATAGAATTGGGGAGGAAAAAAAGTACTTATAGTACTGTCTGAACAAGTGGGTTTTCAGTCGTGATTTGAATTCAGAAATGAAAGATATAACACGGATAATTTGAGGTAATGAGTTCCAAAGTTTGGGAGCCATGACGCCGAATGCCCTGCCACCCATACTGGAGAACCTAAATCTGGGGACAGCAAGTGAACTGGAAGCAGAGGACCTAAGTGTACGAACAGGAGTATATGGTTGAAAGACCTCAGTGAGATATTGAGGGGCAAGGTTATGGAGGGCTATGAATGTTGAGAGAAGTATTTTATAATGAATTCTGGATGATATAGGGAGCCAGTGTAATTTATAGAGGATGGGGGTAATGTGAGCAGTGCGACTGGTGTGTGTTAGAATTTTGGCAGCTGAATTTTGAACATACTGAAACTTTGTGAGACTTTTAGAAGGCAAACCAATAAAGAGACTATTACAATAATGAATACAGGAGCTGATGAAAGCATGGATAAGTGTTTCTGCATCTTCTGAGGAGAGAATATGACGAAGCCGTGCAGTGTTGCAGAGGTGAAAAAAGGCAGATTTGATCTGGGCATGGATATGATTCTTAAATGATAGTGAAGGATCAAAAATGATACCCAAGTTGCAGGCAGTTTGAACGGGTTTGATTGGGACTCCATCAATGAAAAAGCAGAAATTAGTGTTTATTGACCAGTGTCTTAAGACCAACCAACAGCAGTCCAGTCTTATCCATGTTTAGTTTAAGGAAGTTGGAGCACATCCAGAATTTTATATCACCAAAACAGGCTGTTAATGAGGGGGGTGGTAAAGGTGAAGTGGAATTGGAACTGACGTGAATCTGTCATCTGCATAACAATGAAATCTGAGGCCATGTCGACGCATGATGTCACCTAGAGGAAGCACGTATACTATAAATAAAAGAGGCCCAAGAACAGACCCCTGTGGAATACCCCGAGTAAGTTGAACTGCTGAGGACTTTTTATTTTTGATTGATATTTTGTAAAATCGGTCAGACAGATGGGAGGTAAACCAGGAGAGTGCAGTATCAGTAATAGTCAGTGCAGCTAGATGAGTGAGAAGAATGTCGTGAAATGGTGTCAAATGCAGCACAGGACTGAGCAGGGCTGTCTCAGTACTGTGGAGTGGACAGAAGCCTGATTGAAAGAGCTCGTAAAAATTATTCATTTGTAGATGGGCTCTTAACTGAAGGGCCACCACTTTTTCTAAAATTTTGGCCAAGAATGGGAGAGTTTGACACAGGTCTAGTTAGCCAGTATATTGGGATCAGCTTCTGATTTTTTAAGAATGGGAGGAACCGCCGCAGTTTTTAAATCTACAGAAACAAATCCAGAAATAAGGCTTCTGGCTATCAGGTTAATATATCAGGTGGGATAAATAGGCAGAGATTTTGGTCAGACAGGCCTTTAGAAGAGATGTGGGTTAAGCTGGCATGAACTGGAATTTGACTTCAGAATCTAGTCTGTAACTGTGGCTGAGGTGGTGAGTGAGAAAGTGGAGAAAAAATGGATTGAGCGGCCAGGAGAAAACTCAGTAAGGGGTGATGAAAGAAGGGAGGAGAAAGGGAAAGATAGTGGTGAATGGAGTCCAATTTTTGTTGAAAAAACTTCAAAAAAAGATTTACATGTACATCATTGGTGCCTGAGACTGCTGCTTGAGGTGGATGGAGGAGTTTATTTATTCCTTATGTAGCCGCTCAAGACGACCTCCGGTTGTTTTTAAGGCCCAAAGTTCAGGAGGAAACCATGGGGAGCGGTGGGAAACGGGAACGGACCTGATCTGAACAGAGGCATGTTCATCTAACCTCATATGGTGGTGGAGTGCTGGTTTGGGTGGGAATATCCCATAGACATTGCATCCAAGTGCATTTCATTAACAGCAACTTGAATGCAGTGAGATATCACGATGAGGTACTACAGCCTATCGTGCTACCATTCGTCAATCAAAACAACGCAATATACCAGCATGACAATGCCAGACCCCAAGTCACCCATGCATGCACAGTTTCCTGTGCCTGAAAACATTTGTGTGCGTGAATGGCCAGCTTAATCCTCTGATTTGTCCCCCATCCAGCATCTTTGGGATGTCCTCAACCAACGAGTTTGTCATTGGTTCCCATATCCGGCTAATATCCGCCAACTCCATGCAGCTCTTGAAGAGGAGCAAAAGCTCGTTCCCAAAGTCACCATTTACTATTTGGTATGGTCCATACGGCAGATGTGTAGTAATGCAGCAGTCCAAAGGCCGACAAATCCAATGTTGATTTGCTAATTTGGACCAAAGACCCCATCCCTTTATCATCTATGCCACCGTAAGATTCTTGTTTGCCTGTTTCAATCATTGATCGAAATGCATTCCAATATGGTCCAACAATCTGTCAACACTCAATGAGAGTATAGTGAGTTTCTGGACATGGTCATACTTCTCACAATAAGAAGTGTTGTGTTTATATTTTTGTTCAGAGTAATTTAAATATTGGCCATACCAGGGGTTTCCAAACTGGTTTTTTAAATTATTTATTATTTGTTTGTTCTGATCTCAATTGTAAACACGGAATTTTAACAATTTGTTCATTGGTTTTTGATTTTCATGTGTAGAGGGATTATTTACCTACTTAAAAACTTCATGACAAAAATATTATTCCTTTCATAATATTTATTTATTATTATAATGAAAGCATAAAATCCCAGTGTTTTATTTTCTGTTAATGTTACTATATTCCAAAAAATTGCATTTTTGGGAATAATATTTTCCAAGACAGTGGTAAATTAGTAAGCCACTAATTAGATTTCTGAAAACAGGTGTTTTAAGATTTTTAAGTTTTGAATTCTTAATTTATCTGATGATATACTCAGAAGTAGGGACCTGGGACAGACAATTTCATCAATTAGCAGCCAACTTATTCTTCCATTTCATTTCATGGTTGGAATAAAAACTGGCGACTGAGTTTGAGAACCGCTGGTAAAGGCTAAATTTAAACTTCATGCTTTGTCAACAGTTTCTCTTTACAAAATGTACAAATTCTCACTAAAATTGTGCTGCCATGTGATAAGTAATTTCAATGCTTGCTGGTCAGGCAGTCCTCACGATAATAGGAATTTTTAGGACAGCGCTCCAGAATCGCATTGAATCTACAGGTCTGAATTGATAGGTGGTTTCCCACAATTCAAAAGAAGACAAAAGTACCAACAATGCAAGTTTTTTTCAGCACATCTTTTTTAGGCAAGGAATTTTTACGGAAAGATGAAAATTGGGGAAGTTTGCTTTAGAAAGTCTTACTCTCCCCCTTTTTTGCATTTTGGGCACCACTTTCATTGTTACTTTGTTTCATTTTCTCAATTCGACCGGTATTGTATTTCTTCACTTACATCGCTAGTGCCCGCTCAGTGCTGTTTACTTGCCGGAATCCGATGTCCACGGCTTGCAGTTGCGCAATGGTCAATGTAATAAACCACTGTAGTCTGAACAGCGCGGGGTAGGGGCGATCCATATTGTTGCTGAAGTAAAATAAGTTCTCTCGGGGCATTTTCACATATCATTCTTGAGGCGCCTTAATCGAACAAGCATTAATTATGTATATTTTAAAATAATAATTTGGGTGCTACCGTGAGGCCCTCTGGCTGTTGGGGCCCAAGGTAGTCGCCTACCTTGCCCAAGGAACAAGTCCGCCCCAAGTGTATGATGAATGTATGAACTGGAAAGTTCCCTATATTCTCAGCATGTAAAAATGAATGATTTATTTAAACCTTTAAATCTGGTAAATATACACAGTATGCTCCTTGATTTTTTACCCTTAGTTAACTATTACTATGTTTAAAATAAAAGAATACAGCAATGATGTATGACCAAGTTGACCTTCAAAAGTGTGGAAATGGCTATTAGAGAAGACCAAAGAAGAAGAGAAGACTCTGTCTGTCAGGGCAATAATTACAAACCCCAATTCCAATGAAGTTGGGACGTTGTGTAAAACATGAATAAAAACAGAATGCAATGATTTGCAGATCCTTTTCGGTCTATATTCTATTGAGTACACTACAAAGACAAGATATTTAATGTTCAAACTGATACACTTTATTGTTTTTTTTTTTTTGGAAACATTCTCTAATTTTGAATTTGATGCCTGTAACATGTTCCAAAAA